ACCTTTTACGCACATCTGGTCGGAATACGAACAAGACAGAAGAAATCAACTGCTGTCACACTATTCCAACTATGTTACCCCTACACCAGGTTTCTTCTTACTGCAAGCATCTCAGCCCTTTTTGTCCCTTTCACTTGCTGTGAATTAGCCTCACCTACCTAAGTTCTTCATGTATTTGGACCCCTCTTTTCTTACTCGGGTGTAAGTAGATTACTCCATCCGTTCACCTGTCTCTGTCGTTTGCTCACATAAATTTTCGTCTCCAGGTTTTCCCTTCACTGGCCCTAGCTGCGCTCGACGATCGGTCCGAATAACTCTCTGGCACCCCGACATCTGTAGAACTCAACTGCACCTCGGTCCCAGGTAGACTAACCAACACTCAAACTCCTGTTCTGCATACCAGAGCTATGGCAGATAGGTGGCTGGGTCTACTGCATCGGCATCCACCAGGGACCTGGAACTGTTCCTCAAGACGAAGAAGCGAGCGCAAAGAAACCAACTGGTTCACACAAGCTCGTTCAACAGATATTGAATACTAGCCCATAAAGGCACTCACATCACCGGAGCTACAAGCAGGGTAGCAGAAAAGATTTTCTTGCCCACTTCAGCGCCAAACCAGAGATAACGAACAAAGGCCCAAGAAATAGACACGACAGGTCAAAACTACAGTTTACTACTTGCGAGCCACTGATGCTGGATAAGTGCATTCACCTTGTCAACCGAATGCTGGTGGGATCAAATCAATACGAATTTGTGGTACCATGGTTCTTCCGAAGTGATCGCAGGGAGGAATGCAGGTGTGTCTCCACCACTAACCTCGCGAGCGCTCCAAAAAGGACAGTGGGGTTTGATAAACTTTGATTAGTTTGTTATATTTACTGTGTTGAGGTTCAGAACCCCTTGAACAAACATTTTTCTACCCTTTATTCAGTCTAATGGCAGTTTCAAAGGACGTCTGCGTGGTTTGTCTCAGAAATGTCAGCTTCCTAACTAAGGCGATGGGTTGTGAGGTTCGCTCTCAATGGACTCACTGCTGCTGTGATTCCAGCCAGCCGTCTGGTCATTATGAAGTACTGCTTAGTAGCCCTTTTGATGGAGATTTGTATTTCTGTCCATATTTGAAGTCCAGAAGTGATTGCCAAATAGGCTTACAGCTAGTGAGATAGAACTCCGACCACCTTGCAGTTGAGATCCCCAAATCAACTAGCCTCAATCAAGAGAAGTCTCATGGCCATAAAAAGACCCCTCAAGTTAGCAGTAAGGGAAGTAGCGAATTCATCACTATTACGGGCCATCTCCCCATTAGCATGCATTTGGGGCAGATCCTTTCAGCGACGAACCTGAATCTCACACCCGATAAGCTCCGAAAGAAGGGTCTGAAGGAAAGTAGGCAGGTCCGATCGGTTAAAAATCGAACATTAGGTAACGGTCGTAAGACTGACAAAGTAACGACTACTTAGCCCAATGGGAAGCCGAACCATAAGTTGATCATTGCCCTCCTACTCAGATGAATGAAGTTCTGAAAAAAGGAGGTCCTGGTCCCATCACCTGTAACTCATGGCGGAAGCCACCTGCATTTTACTGCCAACCTCGTTCAATCATCAAGGTAACCCCTGTAGCCGGCAGCTCACGTCTTCGGAGTCACTCCCAAAAGGCTAATCAGAAATCCAAGTCTGCATCCACAGGGAGAATAAGCCCCAAAAGACAGACCTCACCCTTAATCTTAGATGGCTCATTCTCCTCAACGTTCGGGAAAGTGGCTTCTCCTGTTGACTGATCGTGAAGAACGTGATCTTAGCCGATGGAAGAGTGTCTGCAAACCCCTAGAAACCTCTTCCTGCAGTCCATCTGTTCAACGCCCGGTGCTTAGTAAGTTCTGTCCCAAAGGCTCCCCTAGGCCTTTAAGGGTGCCTCCCGATAGTACACGTCATCCCGAACACATCCTCCTGGAAGGTCATCGGTTGGTGAAACGTAAACTGTCTGGCATCAGGGTTAGGCCTGATGGGCCCTGGTCAGTGCGAGGACTTCTTCGCGACAGAAAGAAAATCCACTATCAAGAACTATGCTGCTCAGTAATCATACACGGGATTCCCGAGTGTCCGAGTGCCGATACTGACGAACTTATCCGCGGGATAAGTCAGTAGAGATATATTGTCAGCAAACTCCAAACCGATGTGAGGGCAGAAAGAACGAATCGTCCTCCAAGGCAGGCTCACCTCTCTACTATTCGTAATCCCAGGCTACTTCAAGTAACCCTTGACCCTCCGGACATGGTTAGAACTACCTTGGAGGTACGTGTTCAGTTGGAGTCTTTTGCTGCCTTCCTGCAGCAGATGCCACATTAAGTAAAATGCTAATACAGTCCATTAGAGGTGCCCTGGAACTGAACTTCCCACAGGTCCTCATTGTGGGAGACTTTAACTTTCCTCAACTCTTTACCACAAAAAGTCCATCTGCTGCTCTAGAAGACTTTTGGGAAGTGTTACTGGAAAACTCCTTGACCGAACATGTCTCGCAGTGTACTGGCAGGGAGCTTGGCGGTGGGGCATCCCTACTTGGTCGTATTTTCACGAATCAGTCCATCGGGGTAGCCAACTTGAATGTTTTCAGCCATCATGCAGTTGCCTCCTTCAATATTTCTATATCTGCGCCACCCGTTCCCGACCAACCACTGGTCAGGAATTACAGGAAAACCGATTTTGGGAAGGTCCAGCAAGACCTGGGAGGTTCCGCCTGCCCAAGTAGCAATGACCTACTGGATCTTGATGACAGATGGGCTCCTTTGAAGAGCATAATCTTCCAGAAGATAAAGGACAGCACTCCTCTGATTCCAAGAAGAACCAACAAATTCTACTCCTCCTGGCCTAAGTCAAGCACGCGCAAACTAATACGGCGTAAACAGTCATCCTGGAATCCATAGAGATGCACTAATAGCCCTATTGACCGGCTAAATTATAAAAACATCCGTAACAGATGTACAGTAAGAATCAGAACTAGCTGAATAAACCACCAGACACAACTATGTAGAACCCTGGAGGGGAACCATGGGATGCTGCACTTGCTGATGAAATGGAAGGGTGACGGTTCACTTAGTTTACAGGACCCCATTAGTTTAGAGATCCTCCATCCCAACTGCGAAGTGGCAAACCTACTAGCTCATGAATTCCGGAACAACTTCTGTCTTTTGGGAGGCAAAACCATGCATCTGTCGGACAGCAGTAATACAGAGGGGCCAAACCATGTAGAATTTAAGCCATCTAGAATCATGGAAATGTTGAGGAAACTGAACCCGAATAAGTCTCCAGGAATTGACCGGATTCACTCAAAGTACCCAAAGAGTGTGCTGAAGTTCTGTGCACCCCACTAGTAAACTTCTTCCAATGCTCGTCTCTGAAAGACAGATTACTCTCTGATTAGAAACGGGTGGCTGTGGCCCCAATTCATGAGGGTCGTAGAAAAATACTTGCCAACAACTACAGATAGATCTCCTTGATCTCTTCAGTTGCGAAAATTATGGAGAGAGTCACAAGTGACTCATTTCGTGATCACTTAAGAAATCAAAATTTAGCGACTGTCAGCATGGTTTTTCTTACCTGGAAGGTCATGCAACACCAACTTATTGATAGCTTGGAATACCTGGACACTCTCTATCAAGCAGAAAAAGCCCATTCACATTGGTTTACCTGACTTTCCTAAGGCCTTTGACAGGGTAAATCATGATGTCCTTTGTAAGAAACTTCAGCTCATGGGTGTACACGGAAAATTATTAATTCGGCTTAGAGATTATCTGTATACTAGGGTGCAGTCAGTTAGAGTTGGCTCTTCTTTATCTAACTGGTCCCCGATGCTGAGTGGTGGGCCTCAGGGTTCTATTCTGGGCCTACTACTGTTTCTTGCCTTTATCAATGACCTACCAGGGGCCCTTAATTCACATTCACTATTATATGCCGATGATCTGGAGATTTGGAGGGAAATGCAGGAGCCAACGGACACTTCGGCCCTTCAGGAGGACCTTAGAAAAATCCTAAGTTGGACTACAGAAAACCTGCTTCCTCTCGACTAGAAGAAGTGTCGAATTATGATAGTTGACAAACACAAAGGCAGTCCCAGTTCTTACTCTCTGGGTGAAATAAACACCTGTCACTGTAACACAGAACAAGATCTGGGAGTTACACTTGATGATACACTAGGAGCCTCAGTCCACTGTCGCCTTGCAGGCAATAGGGCTTATGGAATCCTGGGGTTTCTTTTCCGAACTTTAGGGTGTCTATCTCCTTCTCTTTTCACTGCAGTATACGCTCGGTACATTCCCTCTCTTTTCTAGAAAGAAACTCGCTTGCCATGTACTCTTACTTGAAAAAGGACACAGCCATCCTAGAACGGGTACAGAGAAGAACCACAAAGAAAGTGATTGCGTTACGGCACAAACCCTACTCAGACTGCTTAGTTGCTCTTCAGCTGCACCCAATAAAGAACCGGAGGATCTGAGGGGATATGATCATGATGTACCACATCGCTCATAATCCCCTCCATCCTGACAGACCCATTCTAAGCTTTATTTGGAAACGCCAGGGGTCACCCGCTGGGAATAGAGCATGTGAAAGAACGAACAAAGATCAGTGCTAACTCATTTGCAGTTAGATTCTGTAAACTGTGGAACTCCCTCCCCTCAGCAGTTGTCACAGCCCCATACCCTGATACTTTTAAAGGAAGTTAGACGCACATCTTGAGTCCTACGGTATCGATGGCCTGTACTCGAGAAGCTTTCCCCAGATCAGATACAGTACTACTATCTTGAGGCTAGATTAATTAATAATCGTATCTCAATCCTTTCAGGTTTTTCAGAACCGAGAAGATAACTGTGAACATTTCAAACTCATAACGTTTTCCAATAAGACAGACGTAGAACCCAAGGAACCGCCGTTCACTAATTCTACAAGATGAAGTTTGAAGTGACCTACATGTGTGTGAGCGCCACATTCATTGTGCATGCCTTTCAGTGCCAACCAAAGCAGTCGACGTACGAGGCGTCAGACCATGTATGCGTGACAATACGACAACTTATCGTGGTAACTTATGTTATTGTGCTCTTCCAAAAGAGCCGAAATAATACAAGGCGTAAGAAATACCACCCTTTTCGAAGAGCACAATAACATAAGTTACCACTAGTTCTCTTCTCGGGTGAACTGTATTTGTAGCGATGTATGTGTATCTGCCGAAAAATTAGGGAAATACAGAACGGTCTGTAATAAATGTCCGGCATACCTGGGGAACTGTGGGGTTGCCTGAAATTTACTTCGGGCTAACTTAGGTAACTGGATTTTTCTGTCGAAAACTTAGGGGACTGCAGAACGGCCTGTAATAAATTTAGGGCTAACTTAGGGAACTGCAGAAAAAGTGTTGCATCGCCCAGTTTCTCAGCTCCGATTCGTCCTTGAGTTGCCGAAGTTAGCCCTAGGTTTATGCTGGCTGGGCTCCTGATCTATAGATGAAGGAAAGCTTTTCGAGTACATCCTATCAGTACCACAAGACTCTACATGTGCATATAACCTCTTTTTGCGATCCTCGCAATGGGGCTATAACAGCTGTGGGAAAGGAGTTCTACGGTTTACAGACTATAGCTGCAAACGAGTTAGCACGGATCTTTGTACGTGCTCTCATGCTCTATAGTGTAGTGTCTAGTGTAACTCCCAGATCTTGTTCTGTGTTACAGTGACAGGTGTTTATTTCACCCAGAGAGTAAGAACTGGGACTGCCTTTGTGTTTGTCAACTATCATAATTCGACACTTCTTCTAGTCGAGAGGAAGCAGGTTTTCTGTAGTCCAACTTAGGATTTTTCTAAGGTCCTCCTGAAGGGCCGAAGTGTCCGTTGGCTCCTGCATTTCCCTCCAAATCTCCAGATCATCGGCATATAATAGTGAATGTGAATTAAGGGCCCCTGGTAGGTCATTGATAAAGGCAAGAAACAGTAGTAGGCCCAGAATAGAACCCTGAGGCCCACCACTCAGCATCGGGGACCAGTTAGATAAAGAAGAGCCAACTCTAACTGACTGCACCCTAGTATACAGATAATCTCTAAGCCGAATTAATAATTTTCCGTGTACACCCATGAGCTGAAGTTTCTTACAAAGGACATCATGATTTACCCTGTCAAAGGCCTTAGGAAAGTCAGGTAAACCAATGTGAATGGGCTTTTTCTGCTTGATAGAGAGTGTCCAGGTATTCCAAGCTATCAATAAGTTGGTGTTGCATGACCTTCCAGGTAAGAAAAACCATGCTGACAGTTGTTTAAGACTGAATTCTTAAGGAAGTAAGCCCGAAGTAAGTCATTTACTACTCTTTCCACGACCTTCGCAAGTAAAGAGATTGGTGTTTAGTAGTAGTAGTAGTAGTTTGTCTCCACCTCTATACAGCCACCCGCTTCTAATCAGAGGGTAGTCTGTCTTCCAGAAACGAAAATCTGAAAAGGTGCCAGTAGACCACTCAGGACATTGGGTCTTTATGAGTACTCTTGGGTGAATCCCACCAATTCCTGAAGACAATCGGATTTAAGTTCTTTAAGATTCCTTAATTATAGGTTCAAACTCTATCCGACTTAACTCCTAAAATTCACAGTATGATATATACCCGTCATTTGGATGGATATTTACACATCGTTTTTCAGGAGAGAACGGAACACATCTAGGCTTCTTTAAAACCAGGACGGTATAGTCTCATCCTGTGACACAACCACATGAGTGTCTTCACCCCGGTGGACATTCAAGATTATTATAGTTAAGTACAATTGAAAGCATTTAAGTTGAAAGCTTGTTTTATTGACTTTTTTGTCGCGACATAGTGCCAATGTTTTTCTGTTTTCATCTATAGCGTTTCGTGTGTTGTATCAGCTTTTAAGCGTAACAGTTTTGGTTGTTTAACTTCTGAGTGTATCCATTTATGATTGCCTGAAAAACCCCTTGTTGATGACCTAGCTGCTAGTTCTCTGTCATAGAAGATACGCGATGAGATGGCTGTGGTGAATAGTTCTATCGGGCATGTACGAGATTGACACCAATTATAAACGATGCAACAAACATGCCTCCTAACTACCTAGCTCTTGTTGTCATCTGTCGGTGGTATTAATCCGAGAGGCTGTAGATAGAGTAGTGTTCAAAGCTTTCGTAATGTTTCCGATAGCAGTTGTGGTGCGGCCTTAACTATGCTACTCAACATATCCTCATCTTAGGCACACCTCCCTGGGGATTGGAAAATTGCTAGTTATTCTTGTTTTTGGGTCTGGTTATAGACCAAACACCAGCCACCGACCTGTTAGTTTACTTGAATCTTGGTTAGGGTAGTAGAGAAAATACCGCACGATAATATATTAAAGCATTTGGGAACACATGGTGTAACACTGTAGTAACATGACTTACCAGATGATAATGTTTAATTTCTGGATTTACAGGAGCCAACCGTTTTTATAGATATGGTTATTAAGAATTATTTATAAGCCTCTGTAAAAATAACAATGTCATTTTAATTGTTTTCCGGGTAGTAACGATCCCCAGATCATCATCATTATCAACATAGGACCAGGCATTACTGCGTAACGGTCCGAGTTGCCACACCTCATATCAGCACATCAAGTAAAAAGGTAGTGAGGTGAAGGATGAAGATAAGTGAATGCAGTCAAAAGAAATATAAAGTACGAGAAGAAAGGAAAGAGGAGTGACAAAATAGTGAGATTCGGTATAGCGTTGTTAAGATGAGGATAATGTGTGTATACATCTGCGCCACTGACTTCGGTTCTGAGCCATATCACCTAGGGTCTCCAACCACTGGTTCCTCTTGTCCCGTGGACCCCAACCACCTAGTCTGCATCGTCCTACATGGCTTAAACCAACAGTCAGAGACTTCATACATTGGTGCCATGTTTTAGTCTGGCCACCTCGGGCCTTTTTCCAGCCTGAACCCACCTCAGCCAACATTGTGTGACGAGGCAATCGGTGACTAGGCATACGTAGTACGTGTCCCAACCATCTCAGTCGATGAAGGTTCACAACCTCGTCGACTGACTTACCTCTTCTCCCTAAAACTCTACACCTAACTTCTGCATTACTCACATGGTGACACCACGGAATACGTCCTATACTACGAAGGCAACGGTGGTCAAACACCTGAACCCTTTTTGTCTTCCACTTTCAATGGCCATGTTTCACAGCCATACAGTAGAACAGAGCGGACTGCTGTGCAGTACACGCGACCCTTAATAGACAAACGAATATCACGGCGGCGCAAATTGGCAAAAGCCAATCGAGCCTTTTGTATCCGTGCAGAAATCTCATCGGCAACTAACCCACCGGGTTGATCCTACTTCCCAGGTAAGTGAAGTGGTCAACACACTCAACCACTTCACTCTCTATTGTTAACCGCGGTACCGCTGAAGACCAGTCCTGGAGCAAAAATTTGCATTTGGGTGGTGAAAATCGCATCCCAAACATTCTCAAATTCCCACTCAAAGTGTTCAGAAGACTCTGCATCTTGTCAGCGTCTTCACCTAACAGGACTATGTCATCTGCATATTCTAGATCTAAGGAAAATTCACCTGTGATCGGGTCAACGTCTTGTAATTAGGTGACGAGAGGGAAACCTCCATAAGAATATCTATGATAAAATTAAATAAGAATGGGGATAGTGGGCATCCTTGACGGACACCACTTGATGAGTATAGCTCCCTGGACAACTCACCATAGGCTCTAACATGCCCACAAGTGTTCGAGTAGAGAGCTTTCAATAAGGTGATGTACTTACTAGGCACGCCTTTCAGTGACAGACATTGCCATAAGACTTCTCGATCAACGGAGTCAAATGCCGCCTTCAGGTCGAGAAATACAGCTATTGTCGGGCGTCTGTAAGCATGCCTATGTTCCAGGACCTGGCGCAGTGTGAATATTTGGTCGATACATCCACGGCCAGGTCTAAAGCCTGCCTGGTTTTCTCGGGCTTGCTGTTCCCGAGCTCCACTCAGGCGTCGGAGAATTATAGAACTTAGGATCTTAGACACTATGTTTGTCAGGCTGATTCCTCTGTGGTTATCACAAGAGGACTTCTCGCCTTTCTTGAAGACTGGGATGATGAGTGACTTAGACCAGTCGGAGGGGATCGTATTTGATTCCCATATACTGGCTAACACTTCCGTTAGCCTGACTAAGAGAACTCTACCACCATTCTTGTATACCTCAGCAGGTAGTCCGTCTGGTCCTGCTGCCCTTCCCGTTTCAGGCTACCTACCGCTTTCTCAACTTCTTCTAGTGTTGGGGGACCTGTCTCTATGTCCCATTCAGGGTCCGACTGGATAGCGGGCAGCGCAATGGTGGCTGGAGGCCAGTTAAACTGTTCCTCAAAGTGTTCTGCCCATCGTCCCAGTCGCCTTCCCTGCGAGTGAATCGCAGATCCGTCCTTCTCCGCTATAACCTCACTAACTGTTGTTGACCATTTCCCCCCAGTCTCCTTAATAAGTCTAAATAACTGTCTACTGTTACCGATCGCCGCTGCCTTTTCCATCTCTTTAGCCTTTGCTGCCCACCACTGTTCACGATCGTTGCGCAGACTTTTCGTCAGTTATTTTTAAGTTGCGCTCGCTCTTCATTGTACTCAGAGCCTGCAGGGATGCATTCACGTGCATCCATTAGTTTGGAAGAAGCTGCTGATATCCACTGGCTCTTTTTAGCCATTATCTTGGAGTCGGCTACAGTCTCCAGTGCTGCTTTTACAGTAGACTGAAGATGGCACCAAGCTTCTTCTGGATGAGTGACAGTCTTTTGTTCCGATAACTGCCTAGCCAACTTCTCACTGAACACGGCTTTGGTGTTTTCGTTGTCCAGCAGAACTCGTAGTGGTTTTGTTGCCAAATTTTTTCTACGTCCATTGAGACGCAGGCATATACGTGCTCGGACCAACGCATGATCGCTGTCCAAACACGTACTCCAGAAGGAGCGGCAGTCTTCCACCGATCCTCTCCAGCGATGACTAATAGCAATGTGGTCTATCTGTGTCCATCGCTGAGTCGAGCTCGGTGGACGCCAGGTCAGACAGTGCCTTTCTTTATGTCTGAAATTTGTGCTGGCTAAAAATAGGCGGTTATCTGAGCATAGTTGTAATAGGCGATCACCGTTATCTGTACGTTCAGCTGGGATTCCACCTAAGTGCCTTTCTGCCTCACTCAGTCTACCCACCTGTGCGTTGAGGTCACCTGCAACAACCACTACGTCCGAACGTTTGGCTTTCGAGAGGAGGTTAGACAGTTTATGGTAGAACTCGTCCTTCACTTCATCCGAACTACAGTCAGTGGGTGCGTAAGCAGAGATTACAAAGAGACAACGGCGAGTCTCACTATTCCTTTTAGTTCTCACTGTGCCGTTCAGCCTCATAGCGCAGAGGCGACTATCAACTGGGATCCAGTCTAGTAGTGAGTTTTCTGCCCTGGTGCTTAATGCTATACCTACACCTGCAAGACCACGAGAGCTAGCTATCGAATCTCCAGAAACTCGAAGGGTGAATTTTGCAGATTCACCAGATTGGTCAGGAGAGGTCAGGTGAATAACCACACTTGGGTCCTGTATGCGTGTCTCACAAACACAGCACACATCCATGCCCGAGTTGCTAGAGTCTTTGCCAACGAAGCCTGTTGGCCAATTTGACGGAGGGTGCGGACATTGAAGGCTCCAATATGTAATTTGGAGCGTGGTTTAAGGAGACCAGGGATGCTGTTCTGTGGACTCAGATCGTTGTCGAAGGCTGCAGAGGTAGGAGAAATTGAAGATGATGCAGCATCATTAATTAAGAGACGTGAAGGAAGATTAGAAGGTAATGATGGAGGAGGAGGATAGCAGTCAGAAGAAACTTGGGTGCTGACAGAGTTGTGAGGGCGGTTGACACTTCCCGGCTGCCCACACCGTGGAAGGCTATTTCTTCTTAAGGTACCTGAAAGAGATTTGTGTGACCGCAGAGCCCATCGGACATCTGCTTGAGGCCTGTCACACCCAGCCTTTTGAGTATGATTATTTTGAATTTTTGTATTTTTGGGGCCGGATGGTCGAAAGGAAACGACAAGTGAACCAACACCGCCGGCCCGGCAGACCGTGGGGCGTGGTGGAGTGTGTTATTTTTGGGGCCGACCTTTTCTAACCCCCCCTTCCACTGAGAAGGCAGCATCAGCATGGCACTGCTGGTCATCCAAGGGAAACACCTTACTGCTGTCACACCCCATCCAGCTAGCAGCAGTACGACTTCGCCCTCAGACCCCCATCATAGTGTAGCAATTTACACTATAACGGTAACTGCTTTTCGTCTAACCACTACCCAACAGACCTTTCTGGTATGGTAGGACCTCGAGGGAACAAGCGTTCCACCAGCATAGCTCGTTGGGTCATTGTGATATGCAAGCCCGACCACCACGTCAAGGTAGCAGCTATCGGTCGATCCCCAAATGCAATCAAAAGAACAATATATGTGATACAAACGAAAGCTGTTGTCTGGCAAACCTACTACAGTCAAGAAAAGACTTGGTCGAGACTATAAAGAACTAACTTTAACTCACTTTGACTACACTCTCGATAAGGTGTGACGCAAAGGGTTGATGAAGTTTTACAAACTTGGAATTAACAGCGGGGTTCAAGCGTAGATTAGGGAATATTTGCATGACAGAAGGCAGAGTAAGAGTAAATAGAATGCTGATTGACTAGCAACTTGTCACCAGTATCCTGGCACCAATACTATTCCTTCTTGACGTTAATAAAATATCAAAGATCCTCAGGTCATTGCGATTCGCTAATGACGTTTAGATGAGAATCATTTGTCATGACGTGATAACGGATTTATACTCCTTGGACTAGTTGAATGGTCTCAACGACGGGACGTAGAAATCAATCTCAGTAAGAGTACGGAAGTGCACATTGAGAGTGACTGTTTTGGTGGATACTCAAATAATGGTCTGTCAATACCCTAGAAGAAAAAGACTTACGGACTGTCATAACCCACGATTTGAAGACAACTGCAAGTTCTAGTGCTTCTGTAGCTAAAGTAGGAAAATAGGTGATTCTACTTTGGGCTCAGTATCTTAAATGATGACTGTGGTATTGACTTATCCAATCTCTATTCATCTTGGAGGCCATCAGAAAAAGATACTAAAGCGATGGTCGAGTCATAGATTGATCACCGACTAGTGTATGTTACCAGAACAAGTGGTAGTAACTTTTTTCGGTGAAGAGATTCAAAGAAAACTGGGTCTTCTAATGATAACCACTCTGAGGATTAACGCAGGCTAATAGTTTACTAGCCTTTGAAATGAACTGACTGTGTGAATAAACGAAATATAAACAAGTAAATTCTAATTATTATTTTCTAATACGTACTACACATGTGTTCACTGGGGACATCTACGCACGATTGACAGCGTATTCTATCTAATCGAGACATCTAAATCACCCAGTACCAATGGCTGTCAAAAACTGGTGCACAGCAGCTTCTGTTTTCTAACTTGAGTGTAAAGTGCCACACTTGAAAACATAAGGGGAAAAACTGTAGGAAGTTGTTTTCGCTTTCTAATATAAGATAATGAACGGAACCACCTATTGCGTGAAAGTTTATTGTTTCTCACCACAATCTCCATTCCCCTATGAACTCAATTCATGAATCTATTCCGCCACATATTTCATACCACTAATCAATCCACCAACGGTTAACTACTGTGCTGATGCGACCACTATGAATCATCTTCCAGCCTGTAACATTTTTAACTAGCACCCAACCAAACTGTGACCGACTATGTGCATCATGCTTCCAGACTGCCTTAACTGACACAGGCTTATAACTGTCAGATCTTTTTCACCTCAAAACTTTCGTCACTAGTCTCAACTATCTCAAGTGGTATGTTTGAAAAAATGGCATTATTGTGCAAGTATGTCCGTAGGATATGCCATCAGAACAGCATTCAAGTACAGTAAACTATTTTAAGAAAGGTAAATGTGGTTAACTAGGGGTGTATACATCATCACCGAGATCAACTTAGAACCTGGTATTACTATGTAACGTTCCAAGTCGCCACATCAGCACATCAAGTAAAAAGGCAACAAAATCAAAAATGAAGAATGAAAGTCAATCAAAAGAAGTAGAAAGTACTAAAAGAGAGGAAAGAATGAGAAAATTATAGGAGTAAATACGACGGTTGGGATGAGGATAGTGTTTGTATATATCTGCGCAACTGATAACGGTTCTAAACTATATCACCTAGTTTCCAACCACTGGTTTCTGTTGTTCCCCGGACCTCAACCGGGTAGTCTGGATCGCTCTACATGGCTCAGACTAACAGTCAAGGGCTTCATCCATTTGCATCACGTTCTAGTCAGGCTACCTCCAGCTTTTTGCCAACCTGAACCTGATTCGGCCAACATTGTGCGACGAGGCGAATGGTGGCTAGGCATACGTAACACATGTCAGTGAAGGTTTACAACCACATCAACTATCTTACCTCTTCTCCCTAAAACTCTACACCTGACTTCTGCGTTACTCGTGTGGTAACATTACGAAACGTAACCTATACTACGAAGGCAACGGTGGTCAAACACCTGAAGCCTTCTCACGTCTTCTACCTTTAGTGGCCATGTTTCACAGCCATAGAGTAGAAGACAGTGGACTGCAGCACAGCACTAGACTCTTAATCGACAATCGGATATCGTGACGGCGCCACAGATGTGGTAAGTTGGCAAAAGCCAACCGAGCCTTTTGTATGCGTACTAAGGTTTCATCGGTGACCGAGCCACCAGGGCTGATCCAACTTCCCAGGTAAGAGAAGTGTTCAACGCTTTCAACCACTTCACTCTCTTTTGTTAGCCGGGACACTGTTGAAGACTAGTCCTGAAGCTACAATTTGGATTTGGGTGGCGAGAAACGCATCTCAAGCATTCTCAAGGTGTCCAGAAGACACTGCATCTTGTCAGCGTCTTCGGATAAGATGATTATGTCATCTGCGTACTCCTGGTCTACCGAAAATTCTGTGATTAGGCCAACCCCGTGTAGTCAGATGACGAGAGGGAGACCTCCATAAGAAAATCTATGATAAAATTCAATAAGAATGGAGACAGCATTCTTGACGAACACGATTCGACAGACGAAACTCGACAACACACCACAGGCTCTTACTCGCTCATAGGTGTTCGAGTACAGAGCCTTAAATAAGATGATGTACTTACTCGGTACCACTTTGAGTGAGAAACATCACTATATGACTTCTAGATTGATGGTGTCGATCATGGTAAGTCAATGTTTAGATGCTTGCTTTTGGTATAAGCCACATTTCGTTTATTCAAGGAATAACACCAATGTGGTAGGTCCGTTTCAGAAAGTTTGATGTATGCAGTCAACTACGGTTGTGTAGGTTGGTACAAATTAAAAATTGGGGATGTTGATCTTTTTGTGTTACCTTTGGAACCTTATTTATTATTTTATTTATCTCGGTGACTTTTTGAATATTATACTGTTCAGTGGTGCGACAACTTAAATTCACGCCAGGTTTCAAGTCCACTCCATCTGATTTTCTGACCTTTCCCTCAAAGTAACTAAACGCTGTATTTTTACTTTCCTTCTAGGTGCAATGACTCAAGAATTAACATCTGTGTGCGTCATTTTCAGTGGGAAAAGAAAATCTGGTAAGGACTATACTGTTAATTATTTATCTAACATGTATGAACGCTACAACATTCGTCACTCAGTTGTACGGATTAGTGAGCCTATCAAATCTTATTTCGCTCAACAATACGGACTCGACTTCTCCGAATTACTTTCATCGAATTCGTACAAGGAAAACTATCGTAAACAAATGATTGATTGGATGGAGCAGCAAATACAGAAGGACCCGTACATATTTCCCCGAAAAGCCTTTTACGAATGCTTGAAACGATGTGAAAAGTCTGAACCTGATATTATTATTGTTTCTGATGCTAGACGAATGAATGATGTGGAATTTTTTATCAAGAAATTTAGTCGATCTAAATGCCTTTTGGTACGCATTACATCACCTATAGAAATTAGAGTTCAACGTGGCTGGTCATTTGTTGATGGGATTGATAATGTCATGTCAGAGTGTGGGTTAGATGAATTCACTGACTGGGACCTGATCATATCCAATGATGGGGATGAGGTTACATACCAAAATTATATGAAAGATATTGTATCACATACTAAACAGATGTTACATATATCTTTGTGATATTTACACTTTCATCAACGAAAGCTGATCAGTGATTTTAGAGTTTTCAACTATGACAGTGAATGTTTCGCTATCGGGTTAATTGCCTCTAAATGTGCCCAAATCAGTGATATGTTAAGACAGTATTTTCTATCTAATATGAACGTTATCAGACTACCAGTCATTGGCTTTCATTATCAATAACATCTCTAATCGTGTATTTTTCTGGATGACGGAATGCATAAAGGAAATATGAATCAGCAACCATCTAATGATGAAAATAGGTCCAATGGGGCACTAGTGGTTGTTTTTAAAAAGTTGCTAATCGGTAATGATGACAATATTAAACCTTACAATGAAGTCATATTTGTAAAAGTTCCCCTTTTCCGCATCTTAGAGAGTGGTGTTCTTGCCCTCTGTATATCTACTCAATATTGTCTCCTTCCCTCTAGAATTTTCACCAGTCGATTGTCATCATTTCGAATGTTTCTCAAAGTTGCACCATGTACTACTAATACGCCTCACGAGTGGTATTCACCACACGGATGCAAACTGTGGATCTGAAAGCCAATGATACTATCTACTACCACCCGAACTTCAGTATGTGAAACTCAGGCATTTTTGTCAATTAACTTGGAGGAAGGAACGTTTTTAGTGTAAAATACCAATTGTGTTCTTATTGAAGTGGTGTTTTATCATTCATTTTCAGATTTTCTTTTAGCGTATACCTGTGTGTACTGACATAAGAGTTAAATATGGGAATAATTACTCAGTCTGACGACTGGTGGATTACCAGAAAATCGTGATAAATACACATAAAACTCAACTCTGGACGAATTTATGTGCTAGATTATAAGTTACATTGTGTAAAAGCTTATTGTACTACCCGATCGTCTAGATTCAAGCAGCTGGGGTGTTACACTTGGAACTATTACTGCAATAATTGTTGATTTTACCTTAGTGCAGGGCTTGTGATAAACGTGTACATATTATGCGATAGCACATAGAAAGAAAAACGAATAAATAGATTATTAAAACATTGTAATATGTCTGGTGTGTAATAAAGTGTTTTCTAGTAGCTGAATACTTTTGATGAATACAGTATCGAGTCAAGTGTCTGGTCATCTGTAGTTGGTTGTTAGTGTAAATGCGTAATTTTCAGCCTCCATATAACCTGTTTGAAGTTCCACTCACTCAGTTCGTATCGACATAGGACCTTAGAATTTCCGCGTAACAGTCCAAGTTACCCCCCACCTCGTGTCACTACGCCAAACTACAAGAAAATAGGACAAAATTTGGATAAAGCGAAAAAAGGTAACCAGATGTCATAGAATGTCACAAGGGAAAAAGGGAGGAATAAGGCAATTAACTAAATGTGATATACCGATTAGGATAGAGATAATATGTAGATATATGTGTACCCAAAGTTTCCAACTACCGATGTGGCTAGTCACTCAGAAGCCAACCTGAAAGTCTACACTTCTGTCGTACTACTCAAATCAACAATATGACCCTATGCACTTTTTTCTGACCTAACCTTACTTCAGCTAAAACTTACCATCGGGTTGAGTGTTAACCGTTAAGTTATATCTGTAGATATGAGCAACATATTACCCAGCCACACAAGTCGATAAACGTTCATAACCTTATCAAATGACTAATCTCTTCTATCTAGGACTACTTCTTACCCTAAAAATAGATCGGTCTTCCGATTCTGGCGTTATGCGTTTTCTTTGTCCGTCGTTAGAACAATCACATCTCACACCAGCAATCCTCAAAAAGCTCTGTGTGACAGACCTCAAGCAGATGTCCTATTGGCTCTGCAGTCACACAAATCTTTTCCTCTTTTGGGTACCCTGAGAAGAAATTAATCTTCCATGGCTTGGGCTGCCAAGAAGTGTCAACGCCCACACGCTTCCAGTAGTACACAAGACTCAATCAAATATAACATATTCTCATAACTCTGTTTCCTGATTTGCCTCCACCTCCTGATACCAATATTAATCCTCTTACGCTTTTCCCAACCTCTCATTCTGTGACTATTGTCAACGATCCAGGCCACTGAAACCCCATTCGTAGTTTCCTAAAAACCCGCCATATATTTCATGCTGGTGCTCCCAACATCCATACTCTGCCAGATAGTACAGCAAGCATGGCTCACAAGAACTTTGGGATCTTGAGCTATGGATGTATGTTATATCTTTGAGATACGTATACAGGACCCGAGTATGCTTATTATATTGACCACCAGTGCGGTGAATCTTCGTTATTCACCTTGTAAGTATCTGGAGACCCAGTGATACGATCTCGTGAACTCGCTGATGTAGGCATAGCATTGAGCTGTAGAGCGGAAAGTGTGCTTCTTGACTGGATACCAGTCAGCAGCCGTCTATTTGCTGTTCGACTGAATGGATGTGTAAGGACTGGGAATGATAGCGAATGAGTTCTATGAGAAGCTGTCAACATTGCTACAAAGAGCAAAACGCTAAGGTATAGTCATAATAACATGTGACTTTAACGCCCAAGTAGGGAAGCTGAGTTAATCGGAAAGACGTCCTGGTAGTATTTATAGAATCCTATGACAACGAGCCGACAACGGTGACCTTCTGTTACAATCTTGCTCTGAAAATCACCTGTTTTTGGTAAGCACTAACTTTAGGCATAAGGAGCGACACTATCTCATGTGGCGTCCGCCAAATTCAAGCCAATAATGAACGCAGATATATCATATAACTAAAAGTCACCGTTGGGAAGGATCGGTAAAAGATTGCCGCTCTTTCTGGAGTACTAGTTTGGATCCGATCCCACGCTAGTACGGGTTCCTATTTGTCTGCGTCTTATTGATCACAGGAAATAGGAGGCGGTCATGCCCATCTGTGCTCGATTGGTAGATGAGGATGCCAAGTACGCATATAGAGAGGAGTTAGCCAAGCACTTATTTCAACGGGACGGCAGTGTTCATCCTGGAGAAACCTGGCGTGATATTTAGTTTGCTTTAGAAACAGCGGTAAAGACAATTGGTAACCTACAACCGAAGGTTAACAAACATCAACGTCACCCGAACGGATTAATGTGAGAAGACTCATTACAGCTTGCTCTGACCAAGGTGAAGAGCAAAAGTAACTTAAACGTAAGTTGACCCAGAATCTTCGCGTCGATCGGAAGTACTTGTGGGTGACGAAAGCGAGAGAGATGGATAAGGCATCAGTGTTGGGTAACACTCAGCAGTTATTTAGGCTTATTAAAGACATCGGAAAAAAGGAAATGGTGGTTAGTGAAACTACCGAGAAGGATGAAACGCTGGTAACTTCTCAGGATAGGTAGCTAGAACATTGAGCAGAACACTGGAGCACAGCTCAACTGGCTCGCAGCAACCTTTCAGTCATTCAACATCCACCCGGAAGCTGAGAAGGGTGCAGATGTCAGTCTTCCAACTCTCTTTGAAGTTGCGAAAGCTGTTTCGAACCTGAAACGATACAAAGCAGCAGAACCTTACAGTTTGTTTTCAAGAATAGAGGTAGGGAATTCCTGATTAGAGGGATAGAGGTAATAGGTAATGTAAAAGAATCAGAGGTGGTGGTGTCAGATAGGTCTGCTTCTCTGATCGCGCCAGTCTATAAGAATGGGGAGAAGTTTTGTGACAACCATAGGTGAATAAGTTTGACTAGTATTGTGTTCAAGATCCATAGTTATGCGAAGCCTGAGTGCGGTTCGAGAACAGAAAACTTGAAGGAACTAGGCAAGTTTGAGATAGAGGTGGGTGAGAGTGCGTCAATCATATTTTCACCCGACAGGTTCTGGAACACAAGAATACTTACCCCGAGGCTGACACACCATATTTTTTAACCTGAAGGTGGGATTTGACTCTGTCGACCGTAATGTGTTGTTGCAGTCTAACTGTGAAAACAGTACGGAGCTAGCATGTGACGCTAACTAAAGATCTCTACTCGAAATCATGCACCCGTGTTTGGGCTTATGGACAGTTGTCATCAGAATCGGAGACGACTAGTGGTATTTATCAGAAATACCCACTGCCATCGTTACTGTTTAGTTTCGTCACAGAAGTATTAGTGGGCATATCCCTAGATACTTGTGGCTTCACAGGGATTAACCTACTCCATGGAGGTCATTTGATTGACTTGGAGTGCGCATACGATGTTGTCTTGCTAGGTGAAGATGCTGACTAAATGCAGGGTCTTGTGAACGCGTTGAGCGGAAATCTAAATGTGCTTGGCATGCGTTTTGCTCGCACTTGTCAAATGTGAGATGATGATTGCGGACTGGTCTGCAAATACTCTTAGTCTAAGGATAGGGAGTGAAGTGGTTGAATGTGTCAACCAGTTCACTTAATTGGTGAGCTACATCAACCGGGACGAGATGGTCGCTGACGAAATCTCAGCTTGGATACAGAAGGCTCGTTTGGCATTTACCAACTTTCGTCACATGTGGTGCCCATTGGCGAAATATCCGACTACTTGTTAAAAGACGAGTGTACTGCGCTGCAGTCCGTGCTGTCCTGTTGTACGGCTTTGAGATATAGTCTTTAAAAGTAGGAGGCATAAAGCGGTTACGGGGTTTTGATCACACGTATGTTCGTAGTATCGCTCGCTTTTGGTGGAATGAAGGTGTGAGCAATATTGAGGTCAGGTGAGGGGTACCAGGCAAGTCGGCTGAAATCTCTTGGATATATACTGCACATGTCAAGCCACCATCTATCCTGACGTGCAATGCTACAGGAAACCGGATTGGGTCTGAAGCAGGTTCAGGGTGGCCAGACCAACACTTGACACCAGTCGATGAAGTTTCTGACTGTTGGTCTGTGCCATATTGAGAGATGTAGACTGCCTGGCTGAAGTCCTCGGAACGATAGGAATCAGTGGTTAGTGGCATCGCTGAAATCCGGTCACAATGTTGCAGATGTGTTCACTCCTTGACGTCTTCTAAAACTTGAATATTTCCATTAACCCTTATCTTCAAACTACTTATTGTCTCACAATACTTTGTCCACTCTTGATATCACT